GTCGTCCCACAGGGACACTCAGACGGGGACAGCATGCTCTAGTCTGTGCTTAACCAGACTCCATAATACAAACTGACCACTACCAATGGACTGTCACCTTGAACCGGCCTTTCTTCTCCATCTCAGGTCCAGGTGCTTTTTGGGGTGTTTGGGGACCTTCAACACCAAAAAGGTGGCACGGAGGCTAGACATGGCTTCGACCTGATTTTTCTGCTTCGTTGGCATTGGAAAAAAACGGATAGATCACCTCGTTGATGGCTGGATGAACCAATGGACCAAGCAGTCCACTATTGGGTGCTATTTCCGATTATCGGCTCAACTGACGGCCGCGTCTTGGGTGGCACTCTAAAAATGAAGACTACGCTTGCGAATGGTACCGAAAACAAGATAGAAAACAGAACAGGCGGACATGGGAGCAGTGCGAGTAGACAAAATCTCTGACTACCAACTTACACACCTGTCTAAATTCTAAATCAAAATGCCTTGACTTAGTGCGCCCACTGAGACGACATGAGGCAAAAAGCTCCTAGTAGCGTCCTTGTTCCTAGTAGTAAGGCCAGGAGCCCCTAGTGGCGTCCTTGCTCCTAGTAGCGATGCCCTTTGCTCCTAGTAGCGTCCTTTGCTCCTGTCTAAATTCTAAATCAAAGGCCTTGACTTAGTGTGCCCACTGAGACGACATGATCCAAAATGCAATATACATCAAGACATCAGGAGTGATAACACCGTGAGCAAGATGTCTGCAAAAACACAAAGGAGTTCAAAAAAAGCAATGACCAGCTATGACATGATATATAAGTCTGATAAGGTGTTTTAAATTAAGTTTTGCAGAAGGCCTTTCGCCACTTTCCCTGGAGCCTGCACATCAATGACTTTCTCATCCGGACGGTAGGGGATTCCGAAGCCGCCTCCCAAATTCACCAGTTCGATTGTGATGCCCAGCTGGTCCTTCATGATCAAAACCAAGTTGAAAAGCATCCGAGCTGTCTCCAACAGCTCTTCGACTTTCAGGCCTCTCATGGGTAGAATAACGGGCCAAGTCATGTGACGGGCCGACGACCATGACAACCATGACAACGCAGAGTCAAAAAACGGTGTTACGTTGATGCTACAATTGATCTTCGTTGCCCTCTCTACTGAGCTGCTATGTTATGCTTGCGGCCATGCCGCAATTGGAGACGACCATCGCATGAAGGCCGAAGCGCTTCACGCCCAGCTCTTTGCAGCGGCGGTAGCCCTCCAAGAGCTGTTCGGAAGTCGTGCCAAACTTTGCTTCCTTTGGATCTCCGATTAGCACCTGATAACAACTTGAAAAGAATTCAAAGCTCAACTTGAAGCCGAGGGTTGGTGACAGTCGGCTCACTATGCCAGCGGAAATACACACGTCCCAGAGACATCCCAGGGAGGAGTTGAACCCGGGGGGGCCCTTCGCGATGCACCGCTCTCGAGGATTCCAGACCCTCACTTGCTAAAGCAAGAACAACTCCAGCTAGCTGGTGCTGGCTTTCGTGAATTGAAAACTATTCAAAACTTGGCAACCTATCAATTTGTCCGGCAACTCTGTGCAAAGTCACGCTCAAGTCTAGGCAAGAAGTGGTCAGTCGCAGCCAGGTAACATTTCCGGTTCGGCTGGGGCCTGGATTGTACCTGAAGCTCACTAGCTCAGGAAGCCCATCCCCATGCAGAAAGTCTATGTGGGAGATGTCATCAAGGTTGACAATGGCACCCAGCTCTTTGGCTTTCCTGCAGCTTTTCTGCGCGGACACACTACAATTGAACAACCTGCTACAGTAGAATCTTTTTCTTGGAAACAGGGGCAGCATCATAACCCTCAAACATGCTGATGAAAGAAAGGTTACCAAGTCCAGCGAGCATCTGGTATTCCTTCAGGGGGGTGTTGTTGCCTCAGTCAGCCAACAAATCAATCCCAGGCACGACGAAAAATCAGAACAAATCAAAGGCAGTGGCGCACAAACTCTTTCAGGCAGTAGCTAGTGCAACAGGTATGGATGTGTCCTGAACCCTCTTCGCCTAAGGCAAGGTGCTGGTGAACATGATGTCTTCACCCTTTAGCCCCATTCGCTCTGACAGCACCAACTCAGCCATGCTGGAGCAATCGGCACCGCAGCCTGATGCGGCGAATCGGAGAGAGAACCCCGCCAACGAGTGTTTTTGGGGCCTACTCGTCAACTCAGTTCGTTGGATCCTGTTGGTCATATTGACACAAAGATCTGAAACCCCCCGCAGTTTGTTGCCCCCTCACCCAACCCACAAGGGCAATCGTCAAGTGCAAATTCTCCTGCCTTCCTCTTTGAGGACTTGCATAATGTGCGGATTTGGAGTTGCCTTGACGGCGAAATGGTTCTTGTATCCCGGGCACCAGCTGAAGGCTTCATTCAACCCCCTCACGGTCTTGCGGATCGTCTCCTCATGATAAAGATGGAAGGGCGTCGGAAATTGCTTCGCCAAATCCAAGACCTGCACATGACTGAAGTCATTCCTTTGGCCCATTGAAGTCACTTCCCCCGGGCTGATTTCACACATCCAAACAAAAGTACCTCAACTGAAGTGAAGTTCGTCCATCACAAGTTCTTTTTTCATTCCAAGAAGTTTCTTTTTTGGGCGGGTTTGACCTGTCACTGCTTTCGAAAGCATCAGCCTGGGCATCAGAGTACGGGAAGTCACTGATCTTTGGCATGGCCGGATCTTTCCCCGGCTCTCAGGAGGCACTGGATTACTCCACAATAATCTCAATTTGAGACACGCGGCAGACAGGCAAATAGGCGTCGGCAATTGAAATCATGTGCAGTAATATACCTAGCTATCAACAACTATCGCCTGTCCAAGTTCACTCTCAAACCTCGAATAAAGGCCATCAAGGCACACGCCTTAATAGGTCAAACCTACAGGTTGTCTGAATGCATGAGAACGTCTGTGCAAAGCATCTTGTGCATCAATTTGATGTGCGGAAACTGCGGAAAGTGTTCTTGTGTTGCCTATAATGGCGTATGATTATCATTATCATATATCAACATACAGTAGTTGATTGTGCATTTTTAGGGGTCACCTAGGTGGACGGCACTGGATGTTAGATTCAAGAGACCACCACACGTTGTTTCAAACCAGTGACAGCGGTGACACCAAAGCCCAAGCCGCTTCGCAGCCTCGGCATACCTGAATGGGTGATCTTCAAGCTGTTCAATCCCGTGGCACTCTTGCCCCAGGATCCAAGATCAAGCTCTCCTTCTGGGAGGCCCAGTTCAACACAACTTGCACCAAGAGAATCAGACCTCATCACACCAAAGATACAAATGGCCTTGCTTGGCAAAGCTAATGAAAGCTCTACCGGCTTGACCCCTCTGCCACGGTGCCGTGGTCAATTGCTACACGTCCTGCTCACGTCACGATGCTGCAAAGCAGCTACGTGTCCTTGCGCTTGGAGTGCTTCGAGTCGGACTTGGAGATGAGAATGTCAAGCAAGCATTTGGCCTGAGGTTGCTCAACATCCATCGGCGCGATGTGACACGATGTCTGTGTTTGGCCGTGCCCGCCTTTGACCTGAGAAAAAGATGATGACTCCAAATAGAGCAGGATAGAGTGGATAGAGTCGCTAGAGCCACGAAATACAAGGCATCTGTACAAAGTACTGGAGGCCCCCACCGAAAGTGCAGTCGGGTTGCCAACCACAAGGGGGCGAAGACAGCGGCCGGCCCCTGTGCAGATGAGAAGATTCAATGACTGAAGTGAAACTAAAGTCAACTAAAAGTTGAAGCGGGTTCATGGACCAGGATCTGCACATGCATGGTGCACTCTTACCACCTTGCTCGGGATTCCATCACAAAGAGCACCATAAAGCGGTAGCTGGTGCTGTCGCCCTCATGTCCCTCCAAAGAATACAATCCTTTTCACCGGCAGAACGGCCATCCCTGCAGCTCAGTGTCTGCGATGAGGAGGGTGCCTGCCAGTATCGCGCAGGACCCTTTCACTTGTCCAACATCCCTGAGAAATGCATGAGGCCAGCCGGGTACTAAATGGGTGCTTGTTGGATGTTGTCTCCGCATAAAGGCTGAACAGGATCCGAATTGCTTCAGGGTTCTATTTTTGTGAGGCTAGCGCAAACCAGCAGATATCCCACAAGCAAACCTCTCCTTGACGTCTGAACGACCGATCCCACAGCAGACAGCGCTTGGCCTGAGACGAAGCTCGCACACAGGGTGTCGCCACGTCTCAAGAATCTCCACCGCCTGGGGTCGGCCGAAACGGAGCGGTCCCAAACGGAGAACGGAATCTGCCGAACCCGGTCTGCCGGTGTCCACCCTGGGTCCTTCTTGGGACGGATTGTCTTTTATCGTCTTGTAAGTCCCATTAGAGCAAAGCCGCAGGAAAACACCAGAGATGGAGATCAGCGAGCAAAGCAGAAGCGCAGGGATGCGGTTGGCTGCGGCAGAGCCGCCACTTTCCTTGGGTTTGTGGAGCATGGCTTCGAGCAGCTTAGAGCTGTAGCATGCTATAGCTGCATTGCTTGACACGCCCTTGCAACTGCTCGCTCTCTCTCTCTCTCTCTTCAATGGCCAACGCCAATCATGCAGAGTGAAAATCTCAACTTTAGGAATGCAAAATGCCATGAGATCTCAGCCCGCTGAACATCATCATCAAAAAGCAGCTTGTAGCCAGGCTGCAGGCGCAAACCACCTCAGAGTCTGGTGAATTTGCAAGGTAGGAGGGCCCGAAGGTCAAGAGGGTGATTGCAGATTGGAGTGTGATATGCTAGGTGCTAACGCGGACCTAACATCCTTCGGACAAGCCCACGCAAACTGCAGCTCAGGTGCAGAACAAGACCAAAGAAACTGAAGAAAATCAACGCGAGAAGAAATCCAGAAGCAGCGCATGCCAGGACGACATGGTCATAAGTCATTTCGCTTTGCAGTTAGAAAGTGCTCATCCAGAACTTTCTTCAACACGCTGAAAGACTTATGCACTGATTCTCTTTCTCAGCAAATGGTCTTTGTTTGCCATCCTCGGCTACGCACCGAACCGACGAACGCGGGCGAATTGTGAGAGATGTGTATGGCCCACATGGGCATGGCAAACGTCCACGGACTCCATTTTTCCAGAGCGGCCGCTCCCTGTACGAGCTATAAAATGTCAACTCTTGGTGAAGAGTACTGCTATTGGGCCATTCATTCAGCTAATGCGCCTGAACAGATAAAACCAATCTTCGCGCTTCAGCTTGAAACCTCTGCTTCCCTTGGGCTTCTTTTTGCTGATCTCTACTTGCTCGGCGGAGATCTTTTGCCCTGTCGTGGTCATAAAGCAAAGGTTCAGTTGATCTTTGGAGGTGACCAACTTCTCCCTTGTCATGTCGTAGACTCCAACAAGACTGAAGCGCTTGTCCAACGCCACGGTACGAGCATCAAAGTGAGCATCTGACACCAAGAAATGGCCACCAATGCGCAGAAAGCGAGCACAAGGCTTGGAGACAATGCCTGCGCTCATAGAGATAAGCAGGTCGTAGCCACCAGAGAGTTTAAGGTGGTCAAAATCTGTGTGGTAAAATTGCATTTTTGCAGAACCTCCATAGTTCTTATTCTCTGAAATCCAATTTTGCACAGCTGCATCTTGGAAGAATGGTGCGACTGCCTTGTTGTAATCAATATACGTCACATTGGGAAAAACTAAGGATGCTTGCAAGTGCCAATGACTCCCAGGATACAAGACACACTTAGCTTTTGCAATCTTCTGAACCTCTTTGAAGAGTGGGAGGTGGATGTCCTCAAGACCTTTGTAGGTCTCGTGCAGTTTTGTGAGGCATCCTGAAGACATGCGCTTTGTGTCTTTGGGTCTCCTCAAATCCATTGCTTTCGCCGGTTTTTTCTTCACGGCCCGATGTAGGCATGGGCGCTTTTCTTTCAAGCGAGGGGACATGGGAGAAAATCTCTCGGCACTCGTCCAAGCTTGTTTTAGCTGGGCATTGTCGCTACAGAAGCTACATGCGTCTTCTCAAAAACGGAAACTGCATTCATAGCCACATGCGTTTGTTCTGACAGAGGTCTGTTCTGCCAGGTTAAAGAAAACAAGCCAGCACAGGCCTATGACACAGCAATAACAAGTCCAGCACCAGAAGGCCCGAAGCTGCACTGGCATTCTGAGGAATAACCACACTGGTGGCATAGAACCGCAATTGTCCATGCTTCCCTTGGGGGGCATCAACCGACCAGTTGGTACTTCTTGGCACATGGGTCCCAAGTTGAGTTCGGAACTAACTGCCACACAACACTGCGCTGAGGACAGCTGCGGAAAGTCAAAGATGAGTTCAGAACAGCTGAGAAAAGTAAAGTTCACAGCCACACATTGAGCTTTCGGCCTGGGGATGCCATGTGAACACAGGGTGACATCACTAGCATTAGCAGGCTTGTGGTCTTCCAAGGTTAGAACCACCATGTGGCAGCGTATAGTAGCTATTATAGGGGAACATGTCATCAAGTTGGCAGGCCAAACCTTTTCTTGTCATCCTCTCGATCCTCACTCAACTACCGCATTCACCCGCTTCAATCTTCGTCAGCTGCGACGGCATTTCCCACCTTCTTCAACCAACTGATTTTGTGCTGTACGCAATTCAACTCTGCAGTGGAAACGCATATATGCAATCAGCTGGAGGCTAACTGACATCAAAATTAGCGGCCTGGCGAGGCACCAGCCTGGCTCAAGAACTGCATGAAGCAGTTTGCCAAGCAACCCAGCAGTCTTCACAGTACAAGCCTCGCCAAGGTCGGGAGTGGATCTCAAATGGAAATGGCCAATCCCGAAGTACAAATTGAAGCACGGGAAACACAGAAGAGAGCAGGTTCATTTCTTCCTTCCCCCACTTGTGGCATCCTGGATGCCAAGCAGAAGCTGATTCTGCTTTCTAGTCCACCTAATCCATCCCGTCAAGCTTGCTGATCCTCCACGATTCTCAGCCCTCCACAATCCCCGTAGAGCCCAGTGCCAAGGCGACCAGCACGTTGAATCGTCATCTGTGACGCATGCACGCAACATAAGCCCCATGCATGGTTGAGTGCTTTGTCACATGGGGTTGGGCACATCAGCCATAGAATGCAGACTAGCTTGGCTAGGGCGCTAGGGGCACTCAAGTTGCGTCCGATTCCACACTCTTTTCACGGCTTCAGTGTAGCAGGTTCCTGAGGGTTTCTTTGGCAAGCAAAACTTTGAACAAACCCACCTGGCACTGAGAACACTGTGCATGAGCAGAGCCGCCTAGAAATGTGCTGTTTGCTGTCATGTCTGCCTTGCGTTCACAAGAGCCCTGTAAAAACACATGAGTATGAGTATGCAGGCGTCTCTCTCTCTCTCTCTCTCTCTATCGCTCGCTCCATCTTTGTACGTGTCTGAGAGTGAAGCTCTGTCCATTTTCGCCCAAGGAACTCTCATCTTGAACTGGAGGTGATACTGGGTCAACCTCCTGATGTGACGTGCTTCCCTTGCACATACCGTCTCCTGTTCACCATTCGCTGTCGCACATGCCGCGCCCGCCTCCTCTGGTTCCCCGAGAACCTCAGTGGCTGCGGACGGTCAAAACAACTTGAAGCCCCAAAGCCGAGAGCTGCACGGCTGCACGGAGAGACTCAGCGAAGCGGGGTCACATGGCAGCCAAGCACAGCTGTTGAAAGACCAGTCCAGCCACATGAACCAGCAAGGCCCCAAGGCGCTGACTGTGAAAAGCGTGGAGGTGGTGCCGGAGTTTTTCTTGAACCTCCACACCGGGGGGGGACCATCAGCTCATATCCCACAAGTAGTCATGGTCACTACACACATCACATCCCGTCAACATTTGACCTCCTTGTTTTATCTATATATAATGCCGGCACGGATCTGGTTGTTCAACGGCCATGTCAACGAAACACCTTCCTTCACCAACGAGTGCATTTTTGCGCGCAGTGTCTGCAGCAAACTCTGAACATTCCCATATTGGGAACGTTCAACGGGCGACTTGAAATGTCTTTGACTATGCCACATGGCTGAAGAAGCACACTACACTGTCCAATGACCCTTCCCCGCCGCGTTCTTTACACCGCGTGCTGGCCGACACCTTGGCTCTGGTTCGATGATCCGCTTGGGTCGGACAGGTGTGGCAAGTTCTGCACTTCCTGAGGTGTCGCACTCACCCACCGCCTGCGCTTGGGCCACGAGCTGCTCCACAGGCTGGCGGAAGGCCCGAAAGGCACAGCTCCAACCACGATTAAACCTTTGTGGTAAAGGTCTTGTCCCACTCAAAGTCAAGGAAAGACTTCTCAGAAGGGATTTGTCTTCAGTGACAATGTCCGTCGTGCCGTGCTTGCCCCTGCGATCTGAGTATCTAGCACCCTGGCAGCCTTCTTTGGGTCGGCGTCTGAGGGCAGCGTCGCCTCAAAGAAGCAAGTGTTCACTTTTGGACCTGAGGGCGTCAGATGAAAGAAGTTGTAGCTGTGTTCAACCAGCTCATGAATATGTTCGCTGAGCTCCATGCCACCGCGCGAAAGTCCTTCTCGCATGCCTCAAAGGGCCGGCCAGACCCGCCCAGTAGCACACCTGGAAGGCAGCGCCTCAACGCCATTCAGCAAGCTGAATGAGTCAGTCATGAGTGTTTCAGAATCAAGCCAGGTATTCGTTCTCTGGTACGTTCCCGTCAAACCCCCCAGCTTGGCACCATCGCTACAGAGGTGTGGATCAAGAATCCGCCCCTAGCCCAAGGGAAAGTAAACCCAATCCCGTGGTGCCCTAGGTCTGCCGTGTTGGTGCACCAAATATCCACGTGGCACTGTCCGTTGAAGACGACGTGAACAAGTCAAGTTTCTAGTGGCCCCTCTAATGGCTCTAAGACTCTAAGCATGGCTGGTCGCTATTGCGTTGACATACACTGCAACAGGCACCTGACCATGTCCAATTCTGCATCGCAGGGCGAGATGCCTACGACGCAGGGGGCGTTTAACCTGCAACGTCACCCAACTTGTATTTAACACTCAGTATTCTAGAGATGGCAAATGGCACACCTGGGAAGGGAGTGCCGCGTCATTCAACTCATTCGTGTCCATGACTATGAAATAAGGGACTAAGGCCAATTGCAAGTTTAGTTGATACGAACCAGCATGCCAAACACCAAATCTATGTTTTTTTTCCGGATGCATGGGAAAAAGTGGGACAATGACGATAATCTTGAGCTGTTGGCCCAGTCTCCCAGCCTTCCTCGCCGACTCTTCGCGTAGATTTCAACTGCTCACGGCCATCAAGATCTGCCTCCCGATTGAAAGTGAGTTGGCTCTCCTTTCGTCGGGCGCTGATAAGAGTGCCAAGTTTTCACATCAACACCTTTAGTTCCAAGAATCTGGGCTTGTGCGCACTTGAGCCTGGTCGCTGCCACGACATGAGATCAAAAAATGCTTAGATTGATTGCCATGCTCCTGGCACCTTCCTCCTCCTTGCCCGACCACGTTTCAATCTGGACAAGTCGTTCCCGCCCCACCCACGCCTTGCTACAGCAACGGGTGAAGGCTGTGACGTCCTTGGCGCACTCCGAGGCCGCCAAACGTTGTTGGACACCCCAGGCCCAGCAATCCGACATGGCGATGGCTCGCACGGAAATGCGTGGAGAAGTATGAGAGATGCACGACACACCGGGCTGATCTTCAAGACTTCAACGACACCGTTGGACGGCTGACAACCCTTCAGAATAAGTTCTCGCCCACGAAACAAACAGGGAATACTGTTCTCGGGTTGTTGATGTCTGATGTCTGACAACGCTTTTATCTCTGAACAGCCATTCGACCTGACGGTCAGACGAATCAAATTGATTGATGTAGTGACGTAAAAGTTTGAGGGGAGCTGCGGTCAGGGTGCAAGCGAACCACGTCACAACAGGCACTCTTGAAGCAAATCTTAAAAATATGTTGTGTACACACACAGACTCAGACACATAACCCTGAAGCAGGTGTTCCCAGCCTAGCTCCAGCCGCCGCAACGTCCCCTCGGCAGGTTTCGAGTCTGTTTTGAAAAAACAAGCCGGCAGCTCGACCAGCCTTCAATCCCTCAAACTCTTTAGTATACAAGAGCTTGCCCAGCTCGCCTTTTGTGCTGCCAGGATTTGACGAATTTACCCTGACAGCTTGCATGATTGGCGCACGCAGCCAGGTGTTCACACGAAGGCTGTTGTTGAACTGTACAGTGTCGCAACACGAAGGGAGACGATCACATTTGTGAATGCGTCTTTCTTCCAAATCCAGGCGACGAACAAACTGCCGGCAACTTGTGGCCAAATGGCAGCCGTACATCTGGCCCAGGAGATTCCGACTGTAGCATTCAGAGCTATGGAAAACTCTTAAATCAATCTAATTGAAAGCATCGCTGACCATCCTTCAGGAGAAAGTAATAACGTATGCTGGATACGCAGCTCCAGGGGATTGCGTGACCTTGGCTCAGTCTTGAACAAGCTGCCGATGTTGGTGGCAGTGGCAAACACTCCATGCTCTTTGCATTCCCTGTGAAACTTCTGCGCGGAGAAATGGTGGGCAAATGTTAGAATTCCGACACCCAAACAAGATAGGAGAACCGGAGAATCAAAGAATAAAAAGTAAAACACGAGACAGACATCAAGTTCCTGGCAAAAATCTCCGGGTTGGAAAGACTGTCCACCGAGGTGTTATACCTTGCACCAACAGCTCGTTGAACTTTACCGTGCATGACGCATGACTCGCATGACTCGCATGACCCTGGCCTGTGCCGACCTTGGCGGAATGGCAGCACACCCTTGTGCTCAGGGTCTGCCAGGGCTATTCACAACAAGAGTCCAAACGCTATTGAAGCTAGAAACACTCCAGCCTCCAAGACAAACAAAGCCATTCATCAGCAAGCAAAGCCTTTGGTCGTAGTGTCGTGGGGCATGCACCGCAAAGCAGGGCCGGGCCCTTGTCTGACATCATCTGACTTGTTTAAACAACCTTGCCAAGTAGCAAAATTTGTCGACTTCCATCAGTTGCGGTGCTGCAAAAACCTCCATCGTAAACATACCTTGGCCGTGGAACCATCAAAGAGGGCGTACTTGTTGCAGAATGGTTGTGTCAGGCTGTAGTCATGCAAAATATGAGCCTCTTTGACCCAGGCATTGGCATGTCTGTTGCTTAAAATAACTTTCTCCTGTGCTGGACTAGGTGCTTAGCATCCCGAGCAAAGTAGGTGCCTGATCCCCAAAGGGCATTTCCTCGCGTGCCTGACATCAACGGCTGGAAGCCTCCCAGGGAATTTGAGGACAAGGTATGATTCATGCCATATACCTGGCATATCTATGGCTCATGGCATTCTGCAACTTGACATGCAAGCAAATAAATCAGTTGAGCTTCACTTTTTTGGCTCCTAAATGTTTGAAAACCCTGCCTGAGATGGGGTTGGACACGATCGACTCCTTTCAAGGCACAAATCCAGTGATTGCATCTAGAGTCATCAAGCTTTTCACCTCACACGTATCAATGCAGGAGAGGCACTACAGCACTAGAGCCATGAAAAGCCCAACGCGTGTGGAGCCCTGGCACGAACGACACCTTAGAACTGCAATGCCTTCGACAGGCTGAAAGGCAAAGGCAGGCGGACCAAGGCAGGCGGAAAGCGTGACGTTCGAAGCACGATAGGCAAGCGTGACGTTCGATTGCTTACTTTGCAGGCCAGGAAACTCCCTGGTTCTCTATGCCCCGCTGCAATGCCTGAGAAGCCAACAAAAGCACATAGACAAAATAGACGGTGAAAGCAACCTGGTCAACTTGATCAGCCCATACTTGCTGAGAATGCCTGAGTGACACACCTTGTAGTATGGCTCGGCACTCCCATCTTCCTGCATTCCATTCTCGACTCTTTCGATCTTCAGAATGGAGATATGCTGCCACATGCCTGGATTCATGTCCTTGGCTGAACAAAGGCACTGTGCAAAGCATCCAGCTGATCTAAGACCATGAGAGTCAGCCACTCCTTTCTGCACACGCGTATTCGCACCTGTGGGAAACAAAGCAGGTCCCCATTCAGGACGTGCCTTGTCCACTATTCAGTGTTGTCAATGGGAAAGTGTCGTGAACTTAGAAGTTGCTCCACACTCTGTCAGAATCTCGGCAAGGTCCTTATTGCCTTCAATCGCCAAAATATCCAAAGCAGTTAGGCCATCATTGCCTTTCAGATTCGCATTGGCACGCGTGTTTAACAAAAGGCGAAGCAAGGTAGCGTGCCCCTTCTCAGCGGCAATGTGCAAGGGAACAGCTCCGTCTAAGCAGGTCTTGTTGACATCCGCCCGTCGTTCCAGAAGCAGTGTGGCCACTTCAGCATGACCTTCACGCACCGCAAACACAAGGGGTGTGTGGCCAAGTTGGTCCGTTGCATTGACTTCTGCCTTGCTGTCCAAGAGTGCTTGAGCTGGGCCAGGAACGCTCTGAAATGCAGCAAAATGCAATGCAGTCTTCCCGTCGTGGCAAGTACTGTTGGCATCTGCAAAACACGTTAGCAATAGCTTTGTGCAGTCCCCGTGGCCCTTGGCTGCGGCGCAATGCAAGGCAAGGGCACCAGCGGAATTCGGTGTATGCACATCTGCATGGAAATCCAACAAGACCTTATGGCTGAGGTGGTCGAAAGCAGCAAAGAAGCCGGAAAAAAATCTGCCAAAATGTGTCCAAGCTCTGGCTTTTGTCGCCCAAAAAAATCAGCATGGGTCAGCACAAAACAGTGAGTTTCAATGTCGCCAAACAACTTGCAGCATCTCTAAGAGACCACGTGATGCCGCAACGTGTGCTGGTGTGAGGGCTGTCTTGTGCGTGGCCTGCGTCACATCCGCCAAGCGATCTAGCAGCAAGCGCGCAACCTCAACATGACCTTGGCAGGGGCGCCGTCAAAAGTTGCAGACTTATCATATCTAATTTGATATATATATATATATGCATGCTACTGCGAATAATATGTGTCAACCCTGTCAGGCATTGCTTTAATTTGCTTACACATACTGCCTTTGCCCTGCGTGGCCTCGTTCCGCTGCCAGCATCAAAGGCGCCCCAAAGACCCGATGCTCCAGCCCCAAGTCTGCACGACGCTCAAGCAGCCGAAGTGCCAAATCACATGAACCCAAACCACAAGCCACATGTAGTAGGGTCGTGCCATCACCTGAAAGTTGGGAACAAGAACCCTTTTCTTTAATCAGTCTTCTTGCTTTGTTTGTGCCTTCTTTGTGCCCAAGACCTTGGCTTTGGTCGTTTGGGAATCCGTCATCTGACTAGACTGGAACGAAAGGCATGAATCCCAAACCTTGCCTCCTCAAATATGGAATGACAAAAATACTTGGTGTTTTTCAAGCAACACCACGATCCACAATATGACAGCGGGCGGCGCTCAGTGAGATAATGACACAATTCTGTCTTTGATTGAAGTCTGTGCAATCAAAAGGTCAAAAAAAATGTGAGCAAGCGCAAGATATGAAGTCAGTGGGGTATCTTGGGGTATTCTATAGCTTGAAATGAATGTGTCCCTAACATTTGCCGGCAAGAGCTTCTGCACCCCATCATGCCAACAGGGAACGGTCCAGCGCATCTGCTGGCAAAGAGGGAAGGCATTCCTCGACTCTTGCCATGACAGCTTGAGACGCACGTCGGGTGCGAAGCACCTGCAGCAGTGCAGGTTCAATGCAGGTTGGAAAAGATTTCAGAGGCATTTGGGAGAGAGCGTCCCTACATTGACATTTGGAAATATCTTTTCAAGACATTGCGCTCCACTCCAGGCGTCCTTTGGACTCTTGCTCGGTTTGCTGCTCTTGCCCTGTGCCGAATGTTATTCATGAACTCAAGCAAAACAATCAACAATGCCCAAAAATACTGGGAATAACTTCAGTGACCCTGATTAATATCAAGTATTCTCAGGGGAAAAAAAAACGATGTCCGACTCCACTCAATACTTGATTCATCACAGGTCAACTTGGCATATTTGCACAGCCACATGAAAACCCAACAAAATCAAATACATCAATGTGGTGTGGCGTATCTATATTCTTGGTTAGGACGCCCCGGGCCATTGTATAGTGGGTTTTGGTATACTGAGGGCCAATGACTTAGGACTTGCTGGTACCAATGACATGGGTAGTTGCCGGGGCGGTTTTCCCAAGTCATCATGAAGCAGAAAAAAGAGGGGCATCTACCTGAGTGAAATGAAAAGCCATATGACTTAGGAGTTGCGCACAAAAGATGATATCAGCAAATATGGTTTTTTTTTGAATGAGCATCAAATTGTGCTTTATCGGGACCACGACATGGAACTTTTGTCTGTTTTTGAACCGTTCTCATCTCCAGTCATGTAATATTGTTGCCTCGCCATGGACATGACATAGGACGGCCTCTTATTTAAACTTTAAGCCCAGCTTCTTCCTATGTCCTGGCTTTGCCAGAAGGTTGTTTTTAGCGCACAAATCTCCAGTCATGCGTTTTGTCCTGCATTTCTCCAATTCCAGGAATCCTCAAGAGGGTGTCGTAAGTTTCCTGATTTTGCTAGTTTTGGCGTCATGACTTAGGACTTGTGGCTTTTGGCACATTTTACTCTTTCCTCATGACATGGGAGTTGTGTTTTTGAGCATACCTCCGACAAATCCTATGTCAGTGGCGGATAGTAGTAGCGCTTCTCTTTTTCACGGCCACGTGGAGAGTGCCTTTTAGTGGGTTGAATCTCGCTGACCAAACCCATTGACAGACAACAGTGGGTTTTCAGCTTCAGGCTGGCCAAGCACAATAAGCAGCCACGAGCGTGCAGCTATAATCGAAGCGTTGGAGTGTGAGGCATGGGTGAGTAGAAGATGTCATTTGAGTTGCATCCCAGCTTGGAGGATGCCAGGGTTCTCAGGTACTTAACCAGGGCGGCCAGCCAATGAGTAAAATGTATATAAATGTAGTATATAAATGGCTGCTCTGACAACTAGTTTGCCAAGTTGTTGGTTCGATGACGCCGGTTTGCAATAGCAAC